ACCTAAGTAGTGGCAGTAGGATAATTAATAGTTACCACGTTTATATCCTTACCCTTAGCAGCCATTTCTATAGTAAGATATAATGTCTTCTTATAAGCACACTCTTTAGCCTAGACTAATATTCTTTTATTTTATAATATATAAGTTATTATTCTTACTAATTCCTTTTTATCTTCTTTAACCTTCTTCTTATACTCCTCATGAGTCTTATCTAGTGAAGACCAACTCATATTCACATATAGATAACTAAGGCGAACGCACTTGGCGCATTATAGATTAGAATTAGGTATAATGAAATAAGTAACGTTTTCTAGGGAATAGTTAACACAAGGATTCTCTACTATAACGTTGGCTTTAATGATTTCTTGATAAAGGCGATGTTTCTGGATAGTGGAATTAGTGGGCATAATACTAACCAATAGAGTAAGTGGGGTAAGTAATTGGCTTACATAAGAACCACACGTGATTTAAGGATAAATCGTAGAAAGGGAGGGGATAATATTAGGATCCAGATCTAATAAGTAATGGAAGGGATATTAAATATATAGCCACGGGCGCATACACGTGAATAGGACCCTAGTTAGTGCTAACTATAGGTTAAGGGCGCTTAGGCAAGTTACGTAACTAATTTATAGTAGATTACCTTAGACGTAATTAATCTATAATAAATCATCCCACACGTAACTAATTTATAGTAGAGCGATCTATATAGATTAGCCATGGACCAAGTATATAGGAACTTAAGTATGAACCTTTATACTTATATTTAACCTATTTATTAATCTATCGTTTGGATTACACTTAGGCTATATTGTTGACTTATTATATCTCCTCTAATACTAACGTCTCAACAAAACCCCTTCCCTTCCCTTAGTTGTCTTGCCCGAGAACCAACCCTAACCCTTTAGGACTAGCTACCCTTCTGGATTTAACACAATTATTGACCAAGGAGTGTCGGATAGAACAAGTGCGTTAAGGTCAGAACTGCACAATCGAGCAGGGACCATGGCAATTATCGCACTAGCCTAGGGGTTAAACCAACCGAACAGAGTTGACAGAAATCAACATAGAATCAATAAACAAGATACAAGAATCACCCATTATTATAACTTATCACATCCAGGCATTTTCTCTAATAATACGAAGTATCAAAAACGACTAAAAAAAATCAAATTTACTAGTAAAATACCTATATTTCAATCCTGAGTGTTAGATAATCGCGTGATGAGAATCGTCAAGTATCTGATGAAAATTGATGATTGATTGTTTTAGGTTTTTTTGTGATCGTCTGGATGGTTTCTTGTTTTCTTGTTCACATGGAACTACTATGCCTGCCCCATCTAGAGTCCCGTATACTTGCCAAGCTCGCGTCAGGAATGGAATTCCCGAGCTTGTAACATGATTACAGAGGAACTTATGCTGCGCGTTCGTGACATCAGGGTCACATTCCGTCCCTTCAAAGAGGGCAAGGCAACAAGAATCTGCAGCCCTATTTTATGAAACAACCTGGGTCTGAAAAGTCAAAATGGCATTCTCAGGGAAGGCGTTAATTGTGGCAAATGGTAGCTCTCCAACGACAACGCACTTAGTGTTGATTGTACGTTTACCATCATACACTAGGTACCAATCTTTAGGTAAGGAAAAATCGTTTGCGAGATAACTGTCCAACGACTCAAACGACATTTCCCACCCGCTCTTGGGACTTGAGCCTGGCCCCACTATGGGAGGGAAGGCCGAGGGAAGGTCGAATTTCACATCATCGAAACCGCCGGAGCCGAGACAAGTCCCTGCATTAAGACAGAGTTTGCGGCCGCATCTCTCTAAGCTTACGCATACATGACCACTGGGGCAGTCTAGAGTGCTCTGGCATGCATCTGGGGTTAATCCAATGGTGTCGCCGCAGCTCTGGACATCTTGGACGCAATACCCAGTCAAGGCGTCATCGGTAATGCATACGCAGTTACTTCCTTACGTACCATAGGCGCTCCCAGCACTGGAGGGGCCAGAGCATGTTGGGCTGGTACAGGCGGAGCCGACACACGAAGACCCTTCGGGACACTATAATCATGAGGACTATATCAGCATGGTGGCTATGAAAAAACTTGGGAGCAAACATCAAGACTCACCTTGTGGCCCACTTGCCCACAGTTCTCGGCGTCATTGTCGAGATCATAGAATTGAAAGTCGGAGTCGATATAAGGCTTAAAATACCTCCTGAGCTTTCTCCTCGCCAAACCAGTCTCTGGCGATCTCCATCACCAAGTCACATATCTTGGTCATAACTCTCGGGGTGAGCTTATCAAGCATCAAGTTAAGCAAATAGGCGCAAACCGTCTACCCAACCAGCTTTCCAACAACCGGTCTCAACGAAAGCGAGACCGACAATTTCCGAGCAGCCATCAATGAAAACCCACGGCCTCATGAAAAGGGTACCGTTGATGAGATAGAACATGCCTTGGGAGCAGATGAAGCCGTGTAATTCCAGAAGCAAGCCCTTTTCCAATGAAAACGCCTTGGGGGCAGTGGGAATAGGAACCTTTCCAGCAAAGTATGCGCCAAGGTTACCATACAAGGCTTTCACGACTTCTTCAATTACGAAATAATCACCTACCCTAGGGTCCACTGCTTCGTGTCGTGGAACTAATTCAAGATCGGTAGGGAGAACTGAAACTTTTAGGGAATTGATATCCCGTGGCGTGTCGGTATCCTCCGCTTCCAAAGGAAGTGAAGTCGCAGTTGTGATCCCAAAAAGGAGACATACGATCATCCAAAGGGCGAGGAGTGTTATGGAACGACAGGGTTTGACGGCCAGCGCGGATGATGTGGTATTTCAATTAATTGCACTTACAAAGTCCCTTTTGCCGTGCTGAATACTAGTGGTACAGGAAGGTGTAGACTCCACGTTTATCACCATAACGGAAGCATTCCTCTTAGAGCCATCGCTTATGATCTTCATAACTTTGCCATAGTCAAGGAAGTTGACGGTTTCGTTCCTCTGGACTTTCATCCCAAGCGAATTAAGTGAAAACATAGAGGTGTAGTTGGTCAACTGGCAGGAAATGTCACTAGAGTAGTATAAACCATTAGCTGTATTTGTGCACTTAGTACCCGGAAAGCCAGTGAGGTAATCACAATTTGATCCAACGCAGTTAAGGTGGAGGGCGAACTTGCCTTCGCCTGTGCAGTCGGCGAAGTGACCCTAGATTTCCGTCTTTATTTCGTCGTATATATGTTTCAAGGGGCACAACCCTGGCCTAGGTCAGCCCGTGGAAATTGCAGAAAAAATGATGAAGGGCCGACTTGAGGGGCAACATACGAGAAAGAGTAGCAAGCTTTCAATCTGTAGGGGAATCCGGGAGAAGCTTTGGAGGTAACTTCTCACCCAGGCCTTGCTCCATGTTGTAGCACATATCATCAGTGTGTCCATCAACCAAGGAACCAGAGTTGCTAACAAGCCGGCCGGGGGCTTCTGATTGGGCCACTAGCCGGTGGCCTGACATCTCTTCAAGTATTTTAAACATTCGTTCCGAGATATCCTGATATCGCACAAGTACTAGCTTGGAAATTTTCTTGGTAGCGTTCCAAGGGTGGCCTGACATCCCTTTATTATATGTTGGTTGCGTCAAAGTCCGGTGATTGATATAATTATGTTATAAGAGCAACGAGTAGAGACGTCTGCGGCCTAGTAGGCTAAACTAATTTTACTATGTTCGGTATCTACGTGTAGGTATAAGACATTAGATAAGGAGAAAAGGTCCTGTTCCCCGTAGCTAACGTAGATCTATTATCTCGCTTCGTCACATCCCCTTACTAAGGGTAGCTAGCGCCATAATTCAACTAATTAGCTAGTAGACGGTCTATTGGCTGGCTACCAGCGCGTGATACCTCTAAGATATACTACTACCAGCAGTATATCCATGCTTGTTACGGTAGCCTGGGGTTACCGTGACACTTGAAGACTTATATAAGAAATACATTAGGATTAATAGAGAATGAATTAATTTATACTAAGATTTTGTAAGAAATCCAAAGACTAGTTTTAGATGACTACCACCAATGTGGCCGTGCAGCGAAAATGGACCGAAATACCACTAATTCTGACCCAAATGCCAGAGTTCCCACAGCGGGCTTCGCGCCTCCTGTAAGGCTCTCAGGCCAGAGAACAATAGCTGCACTTCTAGCTAAGCCTATCATCTAGCCCTGTCTGTATTGGTCTCAAAACCTCGTTCCTCAGCCCATTCCTGTTGGACCTGTGAGTGAACCCCGTTGTGATTCTCCTGCCTGAGGACTACTATGTCTATGCGCGGTTAATTCTTAGATGATGGATTTAGCCTCCCCGTTCTGCGTACAAATTTGATGGTCGCGTACCGTGCAGATCGCTGAAGCGAGCCGCTCGGTGATGCGAGCCATCCGAACACCACAACACGTAACTTACACGAACTTCAACACGCGATAACTCCGCCACCATGACAGCTATGGACAACGCGATTATAGAATTTCAATTGTAAGAACTAGAAAAACGACTATCCTATAGAAAATTAGCGGTTAAATATGGTGTGGATAGAACAACGCTTCACGAAGATATCGGGGTGTACAGCAGCTAGTAGAGGCCTGGGAAATTAACAAGCAGAAGCTCTATCCATAACAAGAGCACGAGTTTATAGAATAGATCAATTGACTTACAAAAAAAGCCCTTCCACCAATAAGAGAGATGACGCGAAGGTTTGCTGCAGAGATGGCTCATGAGCATGTTGGAGATGGCTGGGTTACGCGCCTGATACAACGAAACAAAGACTATCTTATCTCCAAATGGACTAAGGCTATGGATGCGGTACGCCGCCACACTAATTAAGAGGCTAAGTATGACTAGTACTTTGGTCTTCTACATAGAAAAATTATCTAGTATAAGGTGGAGCCGGCTCACACGTATAGTATAGATAAGAAGGGCTTTACTATTAGAGTGATAGGAAAGTAGAAAAGGATCTTTAGCAAGAGGGTATATGAGGTAGGAGAAGTTACTTAACTACTTTAAGATAGCTCACGTGAATGGATAACTATTCTAGCTAGTATTTACGGTGATAGGAGCGCTCTTCTATTAGGTCTTATCTACTAGTCTAAGAACTACACTCTCCGAAATAAACAAATAGGTAGAGGATATTAAGAGAATAGATAACATCTTTATCACTTCTTCACCCACTAGATGGACTAATAACGACATTGGATTCAGCGCTGCCAACAGTCGGTACTATAGAGGATATGGTACGGCTCAGCTACGGTTCTTAGTAGTTCGTACCATATAGAGATTTCGCCGTACCGTAAACTATACGTAGTAACTTTTAAGCCGTAGTATGGTGACTACGGTTACCTAATTAGGAAGGAGGTGTGGGTTAATGTTAAGGTGTTGGCTAAGGTATTAGCCACTCTAGGCGTAGGATGTACCCACATTAGGTAAATATAGAGCTTTAACTCCTAACTTTTTCTTCGCCCTATTTCCTACATAAAAATTAGCTTCTTAACCTTAATTACTATTATAATTATGCTTAACGCATAGAGAACTAGTATGCGTGGGTCCTAATTAACGCAGGA